TCAAAAAAATTTGCAACCTACTAGAAAAAACTTTAGACCACGAGAAATCGAATGACGCAAACCGCAGTTAGCTAGTACACCTAGTTTAAAAGTTTTAACCATTTAAAATGGTTCACTTTCGGCTGGGACACCCTGTATATGAAAATAATGAAGAACAATAATTATATTGTTGTGACATTTCAAATGTTACACTGCCCCCTTTCGAAAAAAGAAAAAAAATATAAGTATATATTTTTTTTTACAAGGAATACAAATACCGACAACGAAAACAAGGAAGAGAAGGAAATTATAAAAGTGAAAGATAAATTGTAGAATTATATGGTGAATTTTGATTAAAAATTTCTTTAGCCTGATAATTAACGTGTATCATCCGTCTTTATGAAAGAAGTCATAATTAGTAGGTCACAATTGGGAAAAAGCTCGAATTGGTAAGTCAGAAGTAAGGTAAGGTACCTACTGCTAAAGAACTTGACATGAATCCAATCAAAAACTATAAACAAAAGAAATAATAATATTAAAAAAAAAATGGAAAAATAAAGATTAAAATAATAGGAAAGAAAGATAGATAAAAAAATTAGAGTGAGCCAGAAGTCCGACACTTCACTGCAACAAGAAGAAACGGTAATTATTATTTGCAAGAAGCAAATCAAATCTTTTTTTTTTTTTTTTTTTTTTTTTTTCTGCTTTCTTGTCAGAAACCACCACTGTGGTTTGTCGACAAAGCCTCGAACATCACACACAAACCAAATCAAACAAACAAACATCCATGCACCTAGCCGGGATTCGAACCCGAGACCCACTGCATGCAAAGCGAAGACACAACCGCTGAGCTGCTTGGGTCTGCTCGTTAAGAAACTACGTACTTCTGTAACACGACAAAGTACAATACAAAAAATAATTATGATTACCATCCGGTAAAATCAGCGGAACGGTAAAAATTATTTTTTTACAAATAATATTAATTCAGAGACAAATCCGAATTAGAGCCAAGGTAAAATAAAAAAAAAAACAGAAAATAATTAAGGTAGAGGTAAAACATAGTAAAGCTAAGGAATGAAACGATGACAGTGACATGGTATAAGACAAAATGTCCACATCAACCAGGATACAAAGATAACTTTTTGACAATATATACATCATGAATAGGATAAATCGATAAGACAAAGGTAAGATATATGTCATGGCAATCCTAGGCATGACACACGAAAAATGACCAAATCGACAACGGTAAGGTAACTCATGATGTATTATTAATATCAAAACAGAAGATAACTTGTTTAAGCAAAGGAGAAATTTTAAAATGTCTTAATCAATACGAAGATAACTTTTGACATATACATCAATAGAAAAGATAAATCGATGAGACAACGGTAAAATATTATGCCAATGCAATCCAATGCATGACACACGATAAAATGTCCATATCGACAACGGTAAGGTGATGTATAATATCCAAATAAAAGGTAAATAATTGATCAGACAAAGCAGAAAATTTAAATGTCTGAATCAATATGAAGATGACTTTTGACATCAGATACATCAGAGATAGTTCGATAAGACAACGGTAAGATATTATGTCAATGCAATGCAATGCATGACAAACGGTAAAATGTCCATATCGATAACGGTAAGGTGATGTATATTATCAAAACAAAAAGTAAATTGATTAGGCAAAACAAAAACAAAAATTATACGTCATGACACTGAGGTAGGTATTAAAATGATTTTGAAGTTATATCAGAAAGGAAACTTTACTATGAAATAGGGATGAAAATGGGGTAGTTTTATGGGTCTATAGGTATAGGGACAAGATTTTCCTCGGGGTGGGAAATGAGAAAAATCAAGAGCTCGCAAAGGCAGGAGCGCTGTGTTCCTGAACAGTTTTTTCTTTGCCGGGATCGCTAGAAAATACTGTCCGCTACCTATTTGTTATTAAAAAAATAAATAAATAAATTCGGAATTATTAATGAAATGCCGAGAGAAATGCGAAATTAAATTTCCAGGGAAAATATCGAGAATTAAAATGTAGTTAAAGAAAGTATCCATTGAATTTTGTTCGGTAAATTATTGAAGAAATAGGAAAAGATATTATTATTGTAGAAATTGAATAATTTAGATTTATTCACTTAATACTGTTAATTATTAAAGAAAATGTTCAGAGAAAGAGAAAACAAAAATTTAAGCTGAAAAAAAAACTTGTGCAATCATGAAACGGTCAATGTCAGATTTTTAAAGATAGTTAAAGATAGTTTACTCTAGACTATCCAAGAATTTGGGCTAAGTTAAACGTTGTTCAAGGCCCCATTCACGTTGGTCGCCAATTTATGTAACGCTTTTTTGTCGAAACAAAAGAATGCTCATAATCTGTGCTCGACTATGCTCAGTGGTTGTTTAGCTTGGGGTGGTCCTTGGTGTTGGTACAGTAGAGAGAGGGCGCCACTAGTTTGTGTAAATTATTTTCATTACCAAAGAATAGCCAAACTAGACACTATTCCAATAATTAGTTATTGAAAAGATAAATGCAAAAATCTGAAAAGGAAAATAAATCTAATAGGTATCTGACATTTAATCCATTCAATAAACACAAGTTTTAGAATTCTAAAAATAATAATTTATTAACCAAATATCGAACTGTTGTTCATTAAAAATTTGTGACAAGATGGCGAACTTGTTGTTCAAAGTTTAAGGAAGAATATTGTTCAGTATCCAAATTTAAAAAAAAAATAAAATAAGCAGCTTTCCAAAAGCAAAACTTAATTTAAATAAGTATATTAAAGGATTGAAATTCAAAAACAATTAAATAGATACCCACGATGAAATTTAACCTAAGTATAAATGTTAAAGTCATAATACCGTTAACCTTTAATTCTTTGACTCAAAGTCAATCAAATCAATAAAATACAAATCTTATAAAGGCAGAAAGGTAATAAATAATCCTCAGGGAGCTATAAATATTAAAAACCTGAAATTAAGGATATCGGGGAGAGCTCTACCGTCTTACCTGTAATTAAAATTCAACATATGTACAGTGTGTCCCGCTTAAGGACTGACCACCCTTCTAAAATTTTTATTTTTCGACCGATTCAATTCATTTTTTTTTTGTGTAGCTACTCGAATTTGGCACTTATTAGGATCATAATTTTATTTCTACGGCTGCACTGGTTTACAGCGTGTCCACATTTATGGGCTCAAATTTAAATAAGTAGTTTTAGGGATTTTTTTAGAAAAAATCTGATAGCAGATTCCTGTTTAAATTGGTCTAAAACCCTAATGTACGAATTTTTGTTCCAATAGGATACAGGGTGATCACAACAAATTTTCAAAATTTAATGAACCAAACCGGAAAAATTTCATATTTTGAGACCTTGAGAACAACAAAACTTGATACAACATAGTTTTAGAACATCCTTAACCAATACTTGTAGTAAGCTTGTCTCAAAATAGAAAATTTTTACGGTTTGATCCATTAAATTTTAAAACTTTGTTGTGATCACCCTGTATCCTATTGGAACAAAAATTCGTACATTAGGGTTTTAGACCATTCTAAACAAGAATCTGCTATCAGATTTTTTCTAAAAAAATCCCTAATAGTACTTATTGAAATTTGAGCCTATAAATGTGGACACCCTGTAAACCAGTGCAGCCGTAGAAATAAAATTATGAGTCTAATAAGTGCCAAATTCGAGTAGCTACAAGACAAAAAAAAATTAATTGAATCGGTTGAAAAATAAAAATTTTAGAAGGGTGGTCAGTCCTTAAGCGGGACACACTGTATGTAAACATAAAACTCAACTTTAACTACCTAAAGATTTTACATTGGTTTACCTTGTAAAACTACCACCTTATTGATTTGAAATTAAAAGTTAAATTAACCTATCAAAGGTTAATGAATCCTCAATATTATATCGATCAGTATTCGATATAAAAGAAATAAATTTGTAATAATTATAATAATCCATAATCCATAAAAGTTCATGCCTATAATTTGGCCAGAATTATTTACTTTGTTGATAAATTTGTAGTTATTTATCAAAGATTCTTTATTTTAAGCTGTATTAACACCGAAATCTAAATGTTCTAGAGCGTCTGCAACTTGTTGTTGATCGTCTGCCGATTTTTAAAAAATATATATTTACTCTACACACAAATACCTTTCATTTAAGCCCAAATTTGCATATGTACCTCATCAGGTAACTTACGTCAAATTTTCGGCGTCACGGCGGGCGTCTGCTTTACGTAGGCGTCTAAATATCGACGTCTGCCGGCTGAATTAGGTATCTAGGAGTTTTTCCCTACACATTCTGAAATTTTCAGGCATGTACCCATGAGATAACAAAACCCAGATTTTCGTCTTTTTGACGAGCTGTCATTTGTGAAGTTGACCGCTGGACCCTGGCAGATGGCCGGTTTTAAGATATGCACATAAAGTACTTTTATCCAAGAAACTCAAACCTTTTGTACCCGATGAGATAACTTATTTGCTTCCCGGCCGTAGGTCTATTAGTGTTTGGGAGGTCGTGTAAATAAAAAGAATCTTTTCTGAAGGATGACTTCCCTAAAAAGGGCTTGGGAAAAGGTTGGCTACGATTTATACAAACTGGACGGGTTTTGGTACATAATAGTTACAGAGTACTTTTCTAGATTTTGAAATTTCAAGCTTACATAATCAGTCATCACCAACCTGAAAGAATTATTTTATAGATATGGTATTCCGGACATAGTTCGATCAGACGATGGCAGACAATTTCGTTTCGATTTGAACCGTTTAGCAAAGAGTACGACTTCCACTTTATTTCAATTAGTCTAGTCTCATGCTTCCTCAGCAGTCAAGTTGCAAAACATTTGTTAAAAAAAATTGTCGCGAGGATAAATTAGAAAAAGCTTGTTGTACTAAACTTGTGAGACTATCATAGGTATATTCATTATTTAGTGAAACTCCACTTTACTAAACTTAGTACCTACCTAATATACTATGACCAATAACTTTTTGTTTGTTTCAGGAAATCAATGCTGTAAGCAAAGATTTTACGTTAGTTTTAAGGCCCTGGGTTGGGAAGACTGGGTGATAGCCCCACAAGGGTAAGAGAAATTATACAATAAGTTGAATACTTTTAATGCAAAAAATAAAAATTATTTCAGGTACTACGCAAATTACTGTAGAGGTGACTGTGGTCATCATCGTACTCCTGACACTTTTGTCACGTATCACACTCACGTGATAGAAGAAGTACGAAAAACACAGCATCTGTCAGGCATGACGCCTTGTTGTGCACCATTAAAATTTTCCAGTATGTCTTTAATTTATTATGGTCCCGAATCGACGATAATTAAGAGGGATTTACCCAAAATGGTTGTAGACGAGTGCGGTTGTCCTTAAACCTACGAAAAAAAAACTTTTTTAAAAATTTACTGAATGAATTATTCATCAAAAATGATGATTGATGATGTTTTAATAATAAACTTTTTTATGAAATTTGATGATGGTTTAGAGTTTCGGAAATTTTGAGTAAGTGATGTTTTGAGGAAAGAAGATTTAAATTAAGATGGGTAAGAAGACTAATTATCAGACGAAAATAAGAAATTGATTTAGAATAGATGTAACGAGGAAATATTGCATTTGAAAAATTGTTTAATGATAATGCCTTTTTAAATTTTTGGAAATACGCATTTCGCGAAAGTTTGGTGTAAATACTGTCTTTGATAAATATTTGCTCGAACGATAAAGTGAATTATATCTAATAAACAAATATTTTGCAATATACAATTTCTGACATATCGGCTTCTGTAAAAAATTAGAAAACTTGCTATTGAAATAAAGGATGCTGGGCTTCAAATTAGGACTAAAAAAATACAAAAAAAAGGCTAAAAAATTATTACAGATACTACGTAAAAAGAATTATTTTAACAATTTTCAATATGTACAGGGCTCAGTACAGGGTGACAGAAAAAAAAGAAATTTTTGAAAAACTAAAAAAAGATCGGAAAATAAATCCATAAAAAAATTCAAAGCAAACCATTGAAATTTGTCCCTATTTCAAGAATCAGTTTATGCATTATATCGTTGTATAAAAAGGCTTTTATACAATGATTATATCAATGCCAGACTGCAATAGTCCTTCTGAGGTACGATGTCGCCGACTTGACATATTTGTTTTTGTTTCCATTTAGAGACCACACTATCAAGGTTGCTCATCAAGAAAAACCACACCCGGATAGATCCGGCGGTTGGAGAGGCCACGGAAAGCCACTAAATGTTGAGATGATACTTGAATTGAACAATTATCGCAGAACTACCATTAATTTTTGTTCACTATTTATTTTTAAGTTGGCGGAAGTTCTCCGATAAAATTCAATTTATTTGCTAATCGATATAATCACGCTCGTACTGCTCGTACACCGAACCCTAAAATATCAAAAATTCAGAATATAGATATCTTATAGTATACAAGAGAAGTCGTGGCAGTCGCGCCGTATTCAAAAGTCGACCATTTCACTGAATTTACTAGGCATAGTCTGAGAAAGACCTCTGCGACTCTGCTGGTTGATAATGAATATGAATTGGCTGATTCAAAATGTCACGGTGGCTGGAAATCGAGATCTTGTCGCTGAAGGCTATATTGAAAGTTGTTTAAAAAATAAAACCGAGACTGCACTTTCACCAACAAGTACTGCCATTGATTTCGATTGAACAGCGAGCAGCACTTTCAATGTACCAGTTTGGCAAATTTCACTTCCAACGTATTCGATGAAGCAAATAAAAATTATTGAATATTTCACGTGTAAATTTTTCCATAACAGAATGAAATTATCAGAAAGTCACATTGGAAATACCACGTTGCCAAGGCAAGAAAATTGGGAAAATATCAAAATACTTAATTTTTTTCTCAACTTGCTTTTATGTTAAAATCACGAAAACCAAACCAGAGTCCTTCGAGCAGATACTCTAGTTTGATTTTCCTGATTCTTTGACAAGCAATACAGCCACTCACTCTACTCTCTGTATTCTCCAGAACATTTTTTTCTGTTGCACTGTAGATTGTTATTATAATGGTTTCAAATCTACCCATTTCGAATTAGAAATCATGCTAAAAACTTTTCGGTTCAATTTTTAATAGTTATTTTCGTATCTAGTGCGCGAAATGCTACTTTGGTCACCAAAGTATTTCGCGCACAAGTTGCAAACAATATTTTTCCTAAAACTCCATTTAAATATCGATCATTTGAAGCTTAAATTGCATTTACAATCAAAGGCAGGTGAATTTTCATTATTTTTGGTTTCCTGTCAGGTAACAGGTATTTGTTACCTGAGTGTGCGAACTAGGCATTTCGCACACGGCGTCATGGGAACGTTAAAAAAATTCTACCTGGGAAAAAAAGTGTCACTTCGCAAATTGTCATCAGTGTGCAAACATCATCATTTTTTGACAGTTGTAGAAAAAATATTTATCTACAAGCGTGCAATATCTTAGGTATACCAAACGATTTTGCATGCGGTAAATACCATATTACCGCACGGCATGCTGTAATAGCGTGTTGTAATATTATTACCGCACGCTGTACAGGGTGTCCCAAATTCGAGCAGCATCATTAGAATATTGGAAACGGTAAGACATACAGGGTGGGTTAAATTATGGCAAAGTTGCGCATTTCGATGCTTAATAGAATGCCGTTTTAAAATTTGAGAAATTCCGAATAGTTGCGAAAATATTCGAAATAAATCGAAATTTCACAAATCGTTTTTATTTTTTTCTGAGCCTATTTGAAGTGGTTTTAGGATATCAGAAGCTTATAAAATCTGAAATAAAAAATCAGGGCCCGGATTTCAAAAAAATAAAGTTGATGATGGTGGCCCAAAGACGAAACGTCAGATTATAAATTTGATGGTAACATCTTATAGAGGAAAAAAAGTGGCAATGATGAAATTATATTTATTTTGGGATATCTCTTTAAAAAAGCTCAGAAAAAAATAAAAACGCTTTTGAAAAATTTCGGTTTATTCCGAATATGTTCGGAACCATTCGAGATTTCTCAAATTTCAAAATGCCATTTTGTTAAGCATCAAAATGCGCAACTTTGCCATATTTTAACCGACCCTATATCTTTTATCGTTTCCAATCTCCCAATGATACTGCTCGAATTTGGCACACCCTGTGCAGGGTTTTAACCGTATATTTTTGCACCCGACCTGTAGCCTTTACCTTAACAGCTAGATGATAAGTTTAAATACAAAATTTGTGCAGTTTTAGCTACATTTTTAGAATCCATAGTCAGAAACAGAAATTTATTTTCAGAAATTCAGAAATTTGAAATTTTGCGTACTTTCAACTTTTCCAAATGGAATACCCTATATTTGATTCTATATTCTTGAAGAGCACAATTTTCTGATTCCAAAAATATATAGTAAATCTATATTTGGTTAAGCCGTCTCCAACATATTTCGCTCTAAAAATTGTAAAAATACAATCCTACTTTCTTCTACTACCTGTCAAGGTGAAAGCTGCAGGTAAAATTAGAGGCACTGGGTCTCCCTGAAAGTATTTTCAATATTTTTAGAATATGTTGGAGACAGCTTTACCAAATATAGACAAACTTATATTTTTGAAATCGGAAAATTGTGCTCTTCAAGAGTATAGAATCAAATATAGGGCATTTAGTTTGAAAAAAGTTGAAAATACGCAAAATATCAAATTTCTGAAAATAATTTTTGGTTTTTGACGATGGATTCTAAAAATTTAGCTAAAACTGAACAACTTCTGTATTCACGCCTATCATCTACCTGTAAATGTGAAGGCTGCAGGTGGGGTGCAAAAATATACCGGAAAATTATGTACATTGTATGTACAGTCGTGAGCACAAAAAGTGGGACACCCGTTTTTTCCTATTGTAAAACGGGCTCACCAGCTATACCTACGGCAATGACAGGGATTGGCATATTTGACAAATAAACGATTTTAGAGAAAAGACTGATTTATGCTTCATTTACATTCACTTCGAAGTCCAATTTGTCTTGAAATTGACGTGCTTGTCATATGGCGGCAGCACAAAACCATTTGCATTGAAATAAATTTGAAGTTCATTTCGAAGTGCACTTTGAATTTGAGCAAGCTGCCGGGGGCAAGCAGAAATTTGTAAAATGTCAAATTTTTAGATCATTCATCATGATTCTCATAAAATTCTGACGTTTTGACTTGACGTTTTTGTTCTGCAATGTAAATGATAAAATATCAAACGTCAAATTTAACTTGAAGTTCGAAGTGAATGTAAATGCTCCTTTACGCAAAATAGCGAAAAATGACAAGACCTGTCAGTCGGATGTCCCATTTTTTGTGCTCATGACTGTACATACATATAGTATATGTATTGTATATTGATGGAGGTATCCGGTGTTTAGGCGTTTTTTGTTTTTTTCTATTGCGTAATATTAATCTACATCCATTTTTAGGAGACCCGTCTTTTTTTATTTTATTCAAATGTTATCACAAACTCCAAAAAAAATATTTTTAAAATTTATAACTTGAATTTTAATGTAAGGGAGCGCGTGACGTCATCGACCACAAGATGGCGCAGTACTACACAATATCACGAGATGGCACTGTTTTTTATAAAGTTCACTGTAGCATTTGGCATCTGTTCTCTGTCACTGTGATTCACGTCGGCAATGCTTTTATTGTTTACATTATACTCCATTCCTGTAAAAGGATACATCAACTGCAGGAACAGGTATTTTGGGTCTCCAAGAAGCTCCAAACGGCATCTATTATATTTGATAACAAAAATAAGATCCGTCAGTGGCGCCATCGGTTGATGAATGATGATTCTCTCAAATAATTTCCACTGACGTCAGAATCTTTTGGCGTCCGTTTAAATAGCTGGGTAATAATATCAAATAATTTAATTTTTTTTGCTTCTTCAACTTTGCTTCATGTACTTATTTTTTCATTACAAGGGTTTATTTTGATTGCATAAATTGAATAGTGCATTGACCATAGGTGAATTTAACTATGGTAAAACACCGGATTATCTACTTTCAATTACCCACACATCACCTAAATTCTACTTGTTTACTGTCAAAGGTGACAGACAGCCAGAGGCATAATTTTATAAATTTATTTCGGATATTTTGTTACCGCACGGTTGTAGATGATATTAATACAGTAAATACCCATGTGTTATTATCGTCATTGGAGATTGCAAACCTCGCCTCACTGGCTCGGTTTGCAAATTTCTCTCGGGTGCGGTAATAACCTAATTACCAAGCTTATTACCTACCTAATATACTATTATCTGCCACCGTGCGTTAACTTAGGTATCCAATATGGTACTTACCGCACGCAAAATCGTGCGGTAAGTACCATATTATCGCACGGCGTGTTTTAA